TATTATTATTATTATTATTATTATATGATAATGATAATCCGGGGTATCTCCCGATATTGCTTTATTTATGGTCATAAGCTTGACCTTGGGAACTCATCCTGTAGCTTATCAATGGTGGTGTAGTTCCCAGCTTCACCACCAAGCATTTAACATTGTCATCCAAGCTGTAAGGTTCGTACCACGATGCAACTATAGGTTTTGCAATATTTATAATAAACAAAGGCATCAACAACCATCTTCTTAAAAAGTTTGGAGACAAGGATCAAGAGGTGGTTGTGATCCTCATGGAAGCATGTGGCATTAAGCAAAATGTCCATGGCATAGAAGTTTTCGTTCTCGAGATATATCATGTGGAAACAACATTGAGCCTTGATCATTATCAAGAACAACGGTTTTATGGCCAAAGGGACATGGCTTACGTTCGAGCGAGGTTGGCGATGGATGTTTAGTTTCACTAGAAAGCCTAGGTGAAATGAACGGGGAAATGAACTTCACCTCCTTGGACAGGTTATGGTTGGGATAATGCTCCACCATGGGGTTTTCTAGAGTGGCAGAAGCAGTTTTCCCACATTCTTCACCAAGGCTCCCATGAGTAGGTTTCTTTTGGAAAAGTTTTTCAAAGGGGTAGCCTATGAGAAGTTCAAAGTCAAGGATGGAAAAGATGTGGAAATCTAAGTGAACCTCCATTTCATTAATTTCAATTGGCACGTCCCTAACAATCCCACTACACTCAAAGATGAGTCCTGAGGGACTTTTGAAAAGTTTGTTGGTCGGGATTAGCGGCATGTTGCCCAAAAAAATTTTCACTAGAAATTCTAACATGATGCTAGTCCCAACTGTGGGGTTGTGCAGGGCTTCTATGTTTGTTTCCCTTAATGAACAAGGCATGGTCGTGGAAGGTGAAAGAATCCAAATTGCTTTGGAAGAACGTTTAACTTCCAACAACCATTCCTTCAATGGTTCTATTTTATGGGAAACTTCCTCAGAAGGACGTAAAAGTTTTTCGTGCCCATAGTATTTCGAGATATTGCCATAATCCCTAAATTCGATAGGGAACTCCGAAGGATGAATTAATCTTTGCTTCGATGTTTGTGGTTCAGGTGAGGGCTCACGAGTTGAATCAAAGGATGGTATAGGTTTGGATTCGACTGGTGAGGACTCCTCAACACTCGACATAACTTTTGCCTGGAGGGATTTAGTTCTTATGATGGAAGAAGAGAGTTTGTCTATAAAAAGCTCAAAGAATTCTACTTGTTCTGTCATAGTCTTGTGTGTAAAATGACCTCCGAGGCAGTCACATCTAGGCTTAGGTTAGCACCCATATCAACACCCAAACAAAAGAGTCACAACAATATGCTATCGGGTAAAGACAAGTCTGGGTTGGTGTGTATTAATGCTGAAAACCTAGCCCAGGTTGCACCTATTGACTCCTTGCACTGCTCAAAATCGAGGATTGCCCTTGGTAGAGAGTCGATATGAGACATAGGAAAGAATGCAAGGTGAAACTTGTCTTTAAGTTCATCCCAGTCCCCATTGGTACTTTCTACGGCATGTGTGTACCATTGCTTCGCCTTCCCCGTGAGAGAGAAGGGAAAAAATTTCTACTTTAGAGTTTTCTGTGTCATGCCTGGGATGCTCAGGCACAAACACATCTCCTCGAACTCGTGCAGGTGATGGTAGGATTTTTTTCATTATAGTGCCCTAAGAAGGGTTGTGCCCGAACCATGGCTATTAAGCCAGGGTGGAGTTCATAGTCAGATGATAGTTTTAATTTTGAAGGTGGCTTAGGAACTCCCCCTTTGAAGCGAGAAGGGTTGGATTTGGTGTAGGCTTCATGGTGAAATATATTTTGTATTTTTTTCTTATAAAAAGAAAAGATAAAAGATACAAATACGAGGACAAACTAGGTTCAAAGAAAATAGCAGTTGTTCCCCGACAATGGCGCCAGAAATGCTTGTTGGTATTTCTTAACGCATACAGAAATAATCCGCAAGCGCATGGAATTATCATTGTAGCACTTTACCCAGAAGTATTCAGGGTATCGTATTTTCCACGGGAAATGGAGGTAAATCTTCTATCTAGTTCGTCTAAGGACAACCCAAGGGTAGAGTTGATGGTTGAGATGGATTCCTTCGGTTTAGAGTCTAAGGATAGATAAACTCCACTTCTACTTGCTTACTTCGGGCATCGGATAACACTTGTTCTGCCAGGCGTTGCCGGCCTATGGCTCTACGCCATGCCTAGACGTGGGGGATTATAAGGGACGGACATGGCTATCACCACCTGTCGCCTACCCCTCAACCATAGAGCGCGAGGCAAATGAAGGTAGCCTCTAGCCTAGACACCACGTCTATGCTATCGACTACTTCTCTAGCACGCATGCAAGGGTTATTCATCTTTATCAGGGCCCTTCTACTAGAGCATTCACCACGGGAACGGACGACGAACCCGCAAACAAGTAAGAGTATAGCTTAACTAATCAAAGACTTTATAACCAAAAGAACCTCAAACACTCACTTAGCGGGAGAACCCGTTGAAGTAAATATGCTCGTCGAGGTACAAGTTGGGGAGACACCGACAAGTCCAGCGCTTTCCCAAGCTCTCCCTCACATCTCTTCCTTACTACTCTACTAGCTATCTAGGGCCTAAGCCCTTGGAGTGTTGCTCAAAAGTGGAGAAGCTCCTTGCCTTCTGGTGGTGTGTTGTGAGAGGGGGTGCCCCTCTATTTATACAAGGAGGAAGGTGGTGCTGGGAGCTATTCTTGGCGCGAGGACCGAGCTGCACCGCCTTTGCATGGAGGCATGCCACCGCCTGTCGAAGGAGAGGCAGAGAAGCACCGGTAGGGGGTCAGGCGCCCCTAGGGGTTGGCCGCCCCTTGACTAAGCCACCGCCTTTGCGTGGTGGGCTGTGGGCTGGACCTAGACCACTCCTCGATGATGCTTTTGCCCGGTTGAGTTGAGTTGATAGGCGTCTCCCTTGTTCCTTTGCGCGAATCAGCGTCGAAAAGTGCTCTTCAGTGAATTTCTCCATGTATTTGTGTTTATGTCCTGCAAAACAATGTTCTCTAAATACATGTGGAACTAGGTCAATAGTAAATGCGTATATGCTTAAGTTTGCTAGTTTCTCCTCTTTTATATCTTAATTGGCGGTCGGATTTTGGTCGTTAAGGATCGCCAACAACCACCATGCGCAAAGTGTTTATCTCAAGTTAGCATTAGGGTTTAGTTAGTTTGAGCAGCAAGACTTGTCAGCGCACTCAATGTTGCATCCTTCTTGATAGTACAAAATGCTCGTACTCAAGATCAAAGATAAAATCACATGAGCAGATACTCCTTGAGTATGTGACTTGAACCATTTCCTCTTGAAATTGCAACAATGCCTCTTGAGATTTCAATAGTCTTCATATGCCATCATTGTTCACATATTTCTTCACCAAGAGATGCAACCAACTTTGTGTCAATCATCACATGAGCAAATCCACCTTGAGTACATGATTTAAACCATGTCCAACCATATGAGTTCACTTTATGGCATCAAGTCACTTCTTCCATAAACTCCAAGAATGATTTAATTCTCCTCACAATGTGACTTCCAATAGCTTGATTAGTGTCAAGACTCGATGCAAATATTCTTTTCTTCACCATAGTTGTGGTCCATCGATGCCCAAGCCGTTGCTTACCTTTCACTCTTGCTTGGTCCTTCAAAGCCATGTCCTTGCTTTTTCACCATCTCAAGCCATCCCAAGACACATGGTGATTTGAATAAACAATAAGCATACATTGAAACCCTTTTCAAGAAATCCATCTCCATCTTCATTGATTTTCCAAGCAAGCTCTACAAGTGAGACCATTCCATATGCATAACGTCATGTCTCATTTACCTTCACAATTATGCTTGTCTTCTCATGATGCAATGATATTCCATAACGTATAGACCATGCCAACACGATGAGACCATTTTATTTGCATAAGAATATATTACTTCAACAATATACATTATGGCTTGCCATTTCATCACAATACCACTCATATGGAATATCCTGCTTGTTTGCCATCAATTGAGCCTTTGACACTTAATGATTCATCCAACAAAGCATATCACAAGTGTATACAATATGCTCAGTTCCCTGCTCAATACTTAGCAGACATATTAGACCTTTGATCATGTTGTCATTCAATCCACCAAAACCCACTTATAGACGCGTGCTTTATATATACACTTGTCACAACAAGCGAGGTGGTGTAACAACTCGTCATGCTGAATACAGTGCCACAACAAGGCGGGGCCCACAGGTTGGCCACAGAGGCACAGGTACCCGGGAGGTGCCGTGGTCATGGTCCTTGTCACGTCTGTGCATGTAGCATGATAATAGCTTTTTGTCACAGGCACATTGAGGCAACCAAAGAGACTTGACCCTGAAAGCATAGAGTTAATTTTAAAATATTAATTAAAAAGTGTTTTGAATAAAAATCTAAGATATGCACACACAATAACAACATAAATACAACACATCACAAGAGATGGAGGTTTGAGAAAGTGAATTTAAAAGATCTGAACATAACCTAAAACAAACGAGTTTACCCGGTTCAAGGCCAAAAATTAAGACCGAAGCGATTGACAACTCTAAAAACATCTCTAAGAGTCTTTCTTCAATTTAATATCTAAATCATTACTTAGAAGCTACTCCTATTTAAATAAAAATTGCTCTCTATTTCAACCATCCAACACGTTTTTATATCTTGTGTGCGTATATTAGAGAGCTAATTTCGTTTTTTATTATTGACTAGCGAAAAATCCAAAATAGACAACAATGATATATAGCAACATTTAGAAATCTAATTAAAAAAAGATATTTTTATTGATTTTTATCAATAAGGAAGGATACAACAGGCCAGGTCTTGGACTTCTCCCTGCGACCTATTTCAACTGTTCACGCCAAGGACCCGCCTCCCTGAATTCCTCGCCGCCGTCTACACCCGAAGTCCAAAAGGACCAAAACCATGGCCTCCCCCGCTACCGACGCCACCTCGGCAGTTCCGCCGTCTGTGGTCTCGGCTGCTGAGCAGACGCTCGCCGCTGCCGAATCTGTAGGGGACCATCTCTCCCATCTGCTCGCGGCGGCCGCGGCGGACCCCGACGCCGTGGCCGAGCTCCCGCCCCTGCTCCGGGCGCGCGCTTTCCTCGCCGTGGCGCAGGCCGCCACCTCACTCCTCGGAGGCACTGCACCTTCCACGCTTCTCCTTCTCGTTGCACAAGCTTAGGGTTCTTTTTTCTGATTATCTCTTTTTGCTGGAATTTTGCAGTTCGTCTAAGGTGTTCGGGAATTGACCCTGACGAGCACCCCATCAGAAAGGAATTTGTAAGCTCCTCGTAGTTCTAAAATTCTGGATCTTTCGAAGTGTATTTTTCGGGTGCCATTGAAGTAGGGGATTGATTTCGATGTTATTGACTAGAACAAAGATGGGAGTATATTTTGTAATATTGCCTGGGAGTATTGAGCATGCAGATGGAGAGGTTTGATATGGGCCTTTGAATATGTACATGGATTTGCCGTAGGTTTCTTTTAGGTCAGAACAGAGCTCGTAGGTTTGTAATATCACCTTTGACATGCTGTAGTGTTTAGCTTAATTTACTGCTGTTGCCGTTTTAGTATAGAGGCTGTTTTGGAGAAGGATTTGTGTGGCTGAGTTGGGATTCTTTGTGGGGTCATCTTACATTGAAAATTCTATGATTATCTGTCAACATTTGTTCTAATTATGTTGGGAGTTCAATTTAAGAAGAATAGTTTTAATAATAACAGTTCTTTAATGAAGAGTTCTATGTTGATGCAGCATGAGTTGAAAAAATCAGTCTTCGTATTTTGACAGCTATTCTGTTCGAAGTTATATAATGTCATAAAAAGGTTTTATATTTTGTAATCCTTGAATGGAGAGTTCTATGTAGCCACATGAATTCAATCTTCATACGTTTCCAGCTATTCTGCTACTTGAGCTGGGAGAAAGTTTTGACATTTGTGACTCTTTGGTGGAGTCTTTGTGGCCACTACTTGAAGTGAAAATGCAATATTTGATTTGTCAGCTAGTTTGGCTCTGCAGTTGGAAGTTTTATTTCCTGAGTTCTGATTCGTTTCTTTCCAGGAAAGGTTAAGCTTATGGCAGGAGAAGTTAAATCAATTTGAGGACTGGGACAAGGGTACTTTACTCTGTATTTCATGCTTATTCATTTCTTTTTTTTATCTGAAATATGTAATGCTGGTACTCAGTTACTACCTGAATTGAATTGCAGCACCACTTCGCCCTACTACTACAATAAATACACAAGCAGCAGCAAGGTTTATTGGACACTCACTTTCCCATCTGACATCCGGTACATATTTGGCAGTTAAGTTTGTGTGGATTCTTGATTATTATGGCATGGAAATGAGATTTTATTTTATTTTTATTCAGATCAGAAGAGGAGCATGCAGGAAATAAGTAGAGGAGAAAGGCGGAGTTGGTCTGGGCAGAAGAGAAAGCCTGAGCCTTTACCAGAAAAGAAGTCTGTCCGTACTGCTGCAGAAGAGTTCCTTGCAAAGGCTGCTCAGGAACTTATTGGGCATAGTGATAGCAGGGTCAAGGGTCCTGTTATAGTCATTCCTGATGAAGATGAGGACTAGATCAGTATGTTGGTTTTGTCAATTTGTGAAATATTTATACTGCTGATTTGTGTTTGTTGACTCCGTTCTTACTGCTATGCTGGACTTACAAAAGGCCTACTTACATTACATGTTGATGTGTACAACATTGTAACATACTCAGACATGAGGAATTGAGGATACATATGGCATATTGGCAACAAAATCACAATTCACAATCCTTGATTGTTAATATAGATACTTTCTAGGTTATTGCAGTTTGTAGACACCTAGCTTCAGAATATCTGAAATCCCACTAGCTAACACAAATCTCATCTTGCCTCATGTTTAAATAGTTCTTTCTTGTACTCTATTGTTAATGATGAAAACATAACTTAAGTACCTTTATTTATCTAATGGTTAAGTCTATGTTCATAATTCTACTATAAGCACACTCGGATTAACTTTTAGCTTCACAATTAATTTATGCCAACATATTTGGTGAAACACGTGCTCTATTAAACAGTTGCCTAGCTGTTACTGCGAAAGTTAAACATGGAATGCTGACGTCACGCGAGATCTTATAGTGATAGTTTTATCTTTGAATATGGCCATTTGATGGAAGGCGTAAATCATTTGATTATATAGACAATGGCAGCTTTGCAAGTGAAAGAACATTTTCTGCTGTCCTATATTTTGTGTTGTTAGCAGTACAAGATCTTTTATATTATCAAAATTTGAAACTTCGGTAGACACATGCACGCAACTAACAGGGCCATGGGCTTGTGAGAAGCAGTTCCTTGGATATCAGTATCTACTGGTGAAGTGGTGATTGTGGTATATACAATACAGCAATCTTTTTTGTGACCAACTGTATGTTTCATTGCACGCATTCTGCTCACAGAAGTGTTAGTAGATGGCACGTTTGTATTGATTGGATAGGACCATGTATTGGAATGATTTTTTTGGGAATTAGGTTAATTTTCATCCACAACTTAAAATATTGACAGCATACTTGTTTGGGTAAAGAGTTAATTATGCCATGTTAAAAAAATGCGTGCACATATCCTTTGTTGCATGGAAAAGGTCTCATCTTATGTAACATGACAAACAATCCTCTGCTCGCCTCCATCAATCACTGTTGCACTGCAACCTTACTGTTTCTACAGAATTGTCTTCTGACTTAACTAGACATATGTCTACTCTTTTTTTGGTCATGTATGTACTGTAGCTTGTGTTCGATTGTGGACACCTCTCACCTCTGGCTATGTTCTGTTTCCATGCAGAAAAAATGGATGCTTAACAGATTACATGCTTGATTCATCGGCTAGGCAAAGGAAGGTAGAAAGTCCTGGCGATGAAGATAAATTTACCTACATTGCTGTGTTGTACATGGAACAGGGGATAGGGCAAAGGCTTGCTTACTTCCCCTGTTTTGGGAGCAATTGGCCTCGAATTTTGAGTGCAGTTTATCTGAGTTTCTTTCCAGAAAGAATTTTGACATTCTATTTATTAGTGGAGCTGGAGTAATTTGTGTGCTAGAGTACCCCTAATGATGAGTACTATCTATATATTCGAATGACAAGAAGATCTGTGACCTCCAGCAATTTGGGGTACTCAGCCTGTACAAGACATAGTTGGTGTATTAATGATGATGGCTAAACTTCTCTGGCAAACTTTAGTTTTGTTATAGCACTTGAGAACTGGATGTGCCTGTACATGTGGAGACATGGCTTTTGTGAAATAGTAGAAAGTTGTTTTTAGTAGCTTTTGGAGATGCTCGATCACAAAGAACGTCAAGATGAGGACGATTGCAATTAAAGCGGCATGTCAACCCGAGAACAATCTATGCCACGTTCGTTTTGCTAATAAGTCATAACTGAAAATACTGTTGGCTGATTTATTTTAAAAAAAAATATTGTTTGTTGACTGAAAAATATGGCTTATAAGCCAAGCGAACAGGGTGTTAAACGGCTGGCCATGTTTGACTTCCTGTGACTTCTTTTATCCTATAAATCATGAATTCGCTGGGAGCCGCAATGTAATGGTACAGTCCCCCACCAGTACTCGACATGCCTCATATGGGTTCACACACAAGTCCAAGCAAAAGTAGACCATGCTTTGCTGCGGCAGACCGGGCTAGGAAGCGTAAGGATTAGTGCAGAGAGGTTCCGCTCTGTGCGGGACTTGAGGAAGGATGTTGGTGGTAAACCTTACTTTCTCCTGTGCAATGCAAGGAGACCGCGACTTGAACCCAGGACCGTCCGGTCACATGCAGTAAGACTCTACCACTTGCACCAAGCCTGCCCTTAAGGACAAGGATTAATAGTTAAATATTATATTTAAACACATTTGACACTTCAAATAGCCATAAGTCATGGAAACTTCAAATAGCCATAAGTCATCGAACTTGCTATTGGGTCCGGACGTAATAGGTTTCATGGGTTCGACTTTATATGAGGTCTGCGTGAAATATTATATTTAAACACATATGACATTACAAATAGACATGAGTTACGGAATTAGGCCTGCTATTGGGTCAGGGCGTAATAAGTTTTATGGGTTCGATTCTTATATGGGGTCTGTGTGGAAGGGGCAGAATGGATCTAAGAGCATCAATGAGTGCTTCTATCTTGTTTCGATAGCCATAGAATCGGCTCCTTCACATTGTGAACCCAAATCTATATAGAACCCACTTCCAACGAATAAAAATGCACACTTCTCTCTCACCTTTGACTCCTGCATGGAGGCGGCAGCCATAGATGCCACGCTTCGACTCATGGATGGAGGAGGTGGTCGCAGATCCCGTGCCCGCATGGTCACGTCATCCATCCCACGCCGCCGCATCCCCCTTCTCTCCGTCGCATCCCCCCCCCCTCTCTCTCTCGCAGCGCCAAGTGCCACCGTGTCCTCCCTCTCACGCGCGGCCAGGTGGGTAGGGAGAAGGCCGGCCATGGGATGGAAGGCTAGGGGCTGCTTGGTTTTGGCAGCAACTTTGCCCCGCTTGGCCTCGTTGCATCTATGCGAGCCACGAGGAGCTTGCCCGAGCAATCCTCGAGGTGATCAAACGAGGAAACCAAACATGTGTCTTGGTTGGCTATCTTTGCTCGGAAAGGTGCAATAGTACCCAGCAAAGGAACCAAGTAGCCCCATAGGGAGGGAGAAGGAGGTCGGCCATGGGAGAGAGGGAGAAGGTGGGATTGAGGGAGGAGGACGGCCATGGGAGAGAGGAGACTGACAGGTTGGGGAGAGGGAGATACTAGACGATTTTTTTTAATTTTTGTGGGTCCTACTTATATATCCAGGGTTGGTGCTATACATTGGGATTATTTTAACAAGTAGCGTCAAATCATTGTATAGGACCGGGTTAGATCTACATATACATTGCGGATGCCCTTACTAGCCCATAAATTTGGATGAGTTGGGTTTATAGAAACACAAGTTGGGGTGGGTTGTCGCAATGGACACGACCAACGTATCAAGCTTGTACCAACACTGCCCCCTCCCATAGTGCCCACGTCCCTTATCCTATCGCACCAAATACACTTCATAAACTTTCCATAAAGTTTTAGAACATCCCAATTGAAATATGTATGAAGCCATGATGACCGTCACAATTTGGTATTATTTTATAATTTGAATCTAACTTTCAAAACATGTTGGATTCGATCCCTTTCTTTTATTGAGCCAAAAGTAACCTGGTGGCCTCGTGAAAGGCGTCGGTAATACTTGGACTTGGTTCCAATCAACTTCATTAACTGTACATACTCCCCTATTTGCAATCTACCTTTCCCTTGATCTATGTAAATACTTCTAAAATGAAAAGGTACACACTCCTTGGTGTATCACCAATAATTTATCAAATATATAAAGTTAAATCTGATATAATAGAATGGTTGCACATTTAGTTTAAAAGCGGTTAATATTTATGTTTGAGCTAGTGATGTCCTCATCATGACATCTAGGACCAGATCATGAGGCCCACGGTGGATGGGATAATAAATTTTCCAAGTGCCACCAAGAATCTATGTGATGCAAAGACTCTTTGTACATCCTCTGACAACTTTAAGGAGAAAGAGTTGTTCACACCTAGCCTGATAAGGCTGTGCACAACCATGGGGGGTGCTGGTGGGGGGTGGGGGGAGTGAGGGAGCGATTGTTTAGCAGACTGAGAGCTCCAACACGTCGAGAGCTCTACAACACGCGATACCTAGAGTAGTAAGATTGCAACAAGTCGCACGGGCTCATGCCGTACTAATGCCACACCGCACGACGATCGACACACTGCTAGCCCTGAGCCTCATGAGTTATCTGTTATCTCATAAAATTCTATAATCCGAAAATTTGTAACTAGAATAAATAAAGAGTAATTTATGAGTCGTATAACAATTATAACTTGTAAAATGATAGACAAGCACGAAACAATAATATTTTCTTCTCTTACCTCCTCTTTTCTTATAGCATCATAAAAATGGCATTGCATAAAATAAAACGACGTATGAAACAACTTTTTCTTAGTGCCATATTTGCCTAAAACTTGGCCTTACCGATTTTTATATATGGTAATTTGTAGTATTTTTTTTTAATTCTGATGCAGACCAAGCAAATGAGCAGAGACGAAACACCCACGGTCACATGATGCATTTCCTTCTCGTATAGAATCGTTGTGGAAATTCTCCTTTCGCATTCATCACTAGTCCAAAATGATGCAGGTTGAAGGCGACGGGCAGGCCAATAAAACAAGTCAAACCTCCTCCTCCTCCTCCTTAATAAAAGACATAATAAATCATCCATACGACAAGCGCGAGGAGACACAACACAAGCTAAGCATTCAGCAATGGCGAGTACACGGAGGTTGAGCCATGTCCTCCTCTCCGAGCTGGGTAGTATCGCCATGCTCACGCTGCTGCTGGTGCTGCTGCCGGCGAGCCATGCGCGCGTGTGCCCGCCGTGCGGCACGACGGCCGTGCCGTACCCGCTCAGCACGGGCGACGGCTGCGGCGACCCGGCGTACAAGGTCCGGTGCGCCGCCAACTCGTCGC